TAATTTACAGCCAACAGTAAGGTAGACTAATTTCCTTAGCAATCTAGTATACATCTAGTGTTTCAAGATGAAAGAAAAAAACTCCTGAGAAGAAAGATGCAGCAATTCCTGGAGTTCCACTCTCTCTCTCCCCCAAGCAAGGCAGTAGGATGTTTCTGGTCTTACTCATTGTACGAAGCATTTCTGTTGGCTATCAGGTGCAATTTATGTTCTACTTCTTTTCCTGGATTAGACCTGACATTTTTCTCATCTGTCTATAAAAAACATTTTCACATGAAAAAAGATACACAGTCCTGCAATAACAAAAACAGTCCCTCAAGACATGGAAGGTTCTAGTCCCTCTTCATCACACCTGCATGAGAGATTCTCATCTGGTTTTTATAACCTGACAGGAGACTGATTACCTCAAAAGTAAGAAAACTCTGCCTCAAAATTTGCAAAGATTCAGCATTACAAAGGAGTGGGCAACCCAAACACAGTCATAGTCCCACCTGCTTACACCACAGAAACAATATAGCCCAGCTGATGAACACAGAGCAACTGCAATTTTTTAACAAAACGCTCCAACCATGTAGTAATATAATACTGCCATTTATGAAAAAATGTGAAGAAACAGAGAACAGGAGCAGACTTGCACAGACTTGCATGGGCCCCTCTCCTGCAGCAGGATACCTGGTCAAGTCCATTTTTCCCAGCAGCTCCAGTCACAGCTACAAGAGAGCTCTTTTACCAACATGAGCTAGACAGATCTTATATCATTAAGCACCAGGAATTAGCTTGCACGTGCTCCCCAGAGCTAACCCAAGATGGACAAAATATCTTGACAAAATTTTGACAGAGGAACTTGCTCTCTTGGACTATTTGCCACCATAAAACAGGCTAGTGAGATAAAATCCCTCCTAATTTTTCCCAGTTAAGAGCCATCAACGTGTAACTGCTACCAAAGACGAGGCTGTACTGCAGTTTGCATGCACCACTGAGCCAGTAACACCAGCGCTGTTGCTGCTGCTTCAGTTATGGACTTCTTGGTCTGTGTTAATAGATAAGGAAATGTTAGGCTGCAGCATGTAACCATTGCATGTGGTATACCACAAACTTCCCCACAAAATACCATGTAGTTATTTAACAGGTGCCAAGTATTTTTCAGATTAAGTACTCAAGACATTGTGCTTACCATGGTTTACCATAGATATTTATGCTACCACATGCTTTTGCACTTACCTCGCTTGCAAAACCTTGCTGCATTTCTGAGCCTTATGTTTTATTACTATTACTAGTTTGAACAGTGGATAGGCATTTTGCTTCTACACACACACATAGCCTCTGAAAAAGCATGGATCACAGCACATATACAGAATATGAGAAATGCTGCTTCTGCAAAAATATATGCTCACTACATGTGCCTACTGTAACAGTAAATCAGACAAGCGACATAGCAACCATAGCATGATTTTATCTCCACATGTAAAATCACTGTTCATGGTATCACTGAAAGGAAAGTCATAATTAGAACATGGAAACAAAGAGATCTGAGAAAGTCCAGAGGGCACACGCAAATCCATCTGGTAATTAAAAGATTCACACTGTTCTCTTCTTCAAAACCAATAATAAAGTTTTCTGAAAGAAGTTAATAGCAAGAGCTGTAGTCTATTTCACTTACTTCATGTCATATTTTAAATAAAATATTGATTGAAAAAATTTAGATGAATATTTGGAATTTTTTTTGTTTTCAAGAACAATGGATGATGGGATAAAAAGCGTAACAACTTCAGAAGCGAGCAGGAAGAACAATGACTTCTACTAGGTTATAGAAAAATCCATGATCTTTTCGAAGATTCCCATCTTATGTCCTTAGAAAGTATTGTTATTGGATTCCACTCTCCTAGTGTTTCTTTCTTACAATGCATTCACATGTTAGCCTTTATTAATAAGTGCCATTATTAGAAATTAAGCAATTTTGATTGCTTATCTTAATTTTCCTAAATTATTTTTTCATTAAATTGATGGAAACCACCTTCTCCTATTTGCATTTGACAAGACTAGATCTGGACAATTCAGACTTTAAAATACCTTTGGGGAATCAAAACTGAATGGTAAACTGAATGGCAAACATTGAATTAAAGCTCTGAGTACTGTAACTGGACTTTCACTTTTTTCAAGTATGAATATTTTTGCAAAACACTAAATATAATCTCAGAGATATTACACTTACATTTCAAAGGCAGACAATTCCTGTCCAGTTCTGATTAGCTTACTGGGTTTTCCTCAGTAAAGTGTGAAGCATGCTACATTGTAGGTGTTCAAAAATGCTTCACAGAGCTTACATCCCTAATACAAATGTAAAAACCACTGCTAGTTGAATACAGTATTGCATTTGTTGTTATGCCATTTCTATCAGACAGTGCTGTAAAACTTAGAGTTAATTGTTTCCTGTGCTTTGTAAGTTTACCTGTTTTAACCTTAATTTTATCCTGTCCTGCCAATAATGTGAAATTGTTACATTGATAAAAATACCTTACAATAGGACACAGGCCAGAGACATTCTTATTAAAACAGAATTGATTCCACTTTTGTACTACGATTTAACAGAGACTTTTGGAACATGTTGCACTAAAAAAAGCCTGAGTTAGAAAACTTTTCTGAAAAACAATGTATTTCTGTCACATTTGGAAACTCTGGCATTTCTGGCCAAAGACAGCATTGCATTCAAAGAGATGAACTTTTCTTTTTATAGCACAGCATTTGCACCTGTGTGAAAATTCATGAGGGGCAGTAGTTTGTGAAAAGATACTTGGGAAGCATGGGGAAAGAGAAAAGAAAGCATTTCTTCAAGTGAGGACAAAGTACAAGATGGAAATTTTGGATACCAAAACTGAACATGAACTGCTGAAATTCAGATGCTACTTAAACTTTCCAGAGCTGAGAACTTTAAACTTAACACTGAAACAAAAGTGACATTTACATGTATATCAGTGCACATCTACTGAGTACAGCATCCAACTTGGAGGTACTAAGATGTTCTTAAAAGCCCAAAGGAGAAATACTGTGCTCTGCTATCAGATGTGAGTTCATAGTGGAAAAATTAAGCCAAGCAGGGAAAGATACGTGCAGCAGACCCTACTCCCCTAAAAGGATTCAGTGTTATTTTCCCTAATTTAAGATGAAACAAACATTTTATATAAAGTATGTAATATTTGATTTGCATTTTCTTATCATTTCTTCTACACGGTAGCTCTTTTCAGAATGAAAAAAATACTAAGCTAACTTATAACAGGTATATGATGTCTACAGTAGTGATAAAGTCAAGACAGCAGGAATTTTCTTTTTAAAAGGAAAACCTGTACATATGCAATGTGGATATGTTCACACATAATTCCAATGATTTTAAATGTAATTTTAAACATCCGAGCAAAGGAGGTAATGTGGAGTTCCAGCATGTGAGCAGAATCTACGCGACAAAAACCTCACTTGGGTAGCAAATATCTCACGCACATGCAGAATGAGTTACTGCCTCTTGCTGCCAAGTGCCAGGACTCACTTCACTTGGCAACAGCTGTCATGGGATTAAGTACAGTCAAACAATACAAAATGTAAAGTGCATCATGAAAAACACATGGGAAGATGAGGGGAAAGAATGATTAAGCATTTAAGATTATTTCCTTCCTTAGCCTTTTATGCAGGGAATAAAGCATGAAGCTTTAGACTCTAAATGTATATTTACACAAAATACAATCTTTGTTTACTGCAAAGTTTTCCAAATGGTAGTAATTTGCTAGAATTTTTGTCATGATTATTCTTATTGTTTAATTTTAAATACTATAAATGTATTGAAATATGTATACAGGGAAATAGCTTGAGGATTGGTTTTCAGTTTACCTATTACTGCATGTAAAGAGAAATTAAAATTAAAAATCTGTTTTGTCTAGTTTTGTCTGTTTCATCACAAAGTACCTTTTACATTTCAGCTGAAATAAGAATATTTTTTTTGTATAGTATTTGCTGTTGGCCACTTGAGATTAATTTGGAACAAGTTTTGTAAATAACAGGTTTATTATCAGATTTCCTTCACTGACTGGATGTTTTTTAAACTATAAGTCCCTGTAATTCTCTTTGTGAGAATAAAAGGATGTTCTTTCATAAAATAATTAAAAACACTGAGGACTTTCTTTCAACTAGTAAGAATATTAATTGGGTTCACCATCAAAATGTGATAACATGTAAAATATCTTGTTTTGCAATGTTAATGCTCCATAATTGCACAGAGCTTTTCAACTTCAAAGCTCTTTACATGAATTAAGTGGATGTCCCTGAAGGCCTTAGGCAACATGTTCATTGCCCTCAAAAGAGATTTGCACCAGACAGAAGCTTTGGGAAAAACACAGGACTGGGCTTTGTTTTTAAAATCTACTGCCATTGCACATGAGATAAAATATCACTACCATTTTGAGGATGGAGCAGTGGAAATACAGGGGAACTGAATGGGGCTCTCCCTGCTCATCTTAAAACTCCGTACTTTACATTGGCTGTGACACACTGAGCAAGTGAGAAATAAAACACAAGATAACTCAGTTTTCCAGAGCCATGCCAACATATGTTTCAATTATTTCTTTACTTCCCCACCAAAGAGCAAGCTGCCTGAAAGTCCAATGATTAATTCCTACTGCACCACTCCACACACAATGCATTCGTTCAAGCAGTCATGTAGAGAAAAATGCATTTGCAGTCAAACGCTGTTAGCTGGTACTACACTTTGCCTCATCAAAAGACATTTTAAAAGCCCTAAAACCCAGGAGCAATATTTATTGCCTCACGTCAGATAGACTGAAATCTGTCACAGACCACTATTCAGTATTTTTGTACTGAACTTTCTTTTCATTGTTTTTTAAACCATGCTACAATTAAGAAACTGCTAAATAATGAATATTTTTTCAGCATCCTTTGGCTTAATGGTATTTTTGGTGGGTACAAATAAGATCAACAGTATTCCTCTTTGTACTTACCATGTGATTTTTATGCCACTCCACTGGACACAGGGAGTAATACATTGGGTCTTTTTATTGCTCAAGTAGAAAGTGCTCATTACCTATTTATGTTTATATATAGGAAAAAATAAAGAGTTATTACAAGTGGCATACTTCACACTGTTGTAGTGGTTGATTTCCTCAAGATGGTCTTCTGGGGTTTTGGTGCAGTTTGTGGAGGCACAGTTGCAGGTCTTGGAGGAGGAAAGCTATTACTGGGACTTATCCCCAACCCTCCATTTTCCAGAGGAAATGGAGGCAGTGGAGGTGGTGGAGGTGGCAGAGGAGGGCACTGGTGTGGCAGCTTTCCAGGAACACGGGTCGAGTCACTGTGCAAGTGCACCTCCCTGTTTTTAATGTTATACCGAACATCACAGTCAGGGCAATAGCCGTGGTACTGCACTTTTTCACTAAATCGTACCCGTTCCCTTGCTCCCGGCTGAGGACACCGCTCTTTCTCAGGTCTGTGCATCAGAGGCTGCACCACGACCTTCTCCAAATTATTGTTCGGTATACAGCACACATCTCCATTTGGGATGCGGCTGGGCCCAACTGGCAAGCCCCCATTTCGCAGCAGGGTGCCATTCGTCTTGACTGGGTTGGCCAAAGGAGGCGGCCTGGGAGGTTCATCACACTTGACAGGCGTCAGTCGTGGTGGAGGCGGAGGTGGGTTTGGCTTCCGCAGCACGGTGAGGATGGCAGAGGGGTGCGCAGGCGGCTTGATGAGAGGGGGATTGCCGCGCACCTTGACTTTCTCCAAGCTGGAAGCTGTTGTGCTGCTAGAGCTGCTGTTAAGTGTGTCTGTTTTGGAACTGTCTGTCATCTCATCCTCCAGCTGCAGATCAGACGTCAGTGTGTCAATTTGGTCAACCACCTGCACAACAGCCAGATTGAAAATGGTGAGAAAAACCTTGACTCAGAGAAGGCAGGGAAAAACAAAAGCCCTCTCCACTATCAGTTTGTCCTCCCCAGAACTGAAGCATCCAATTTTTTGAACATTATTTCTTTTTTCCTGTCAACATAATAAAATAATAATAATAAAAATGACAACAACAATAACGATAAGGATGGCTAGTTTGCTAGCTTATCACCTAAACACAAGAGAAATATAACTTGAAACAGTCTAGAATGAAATTCCCTTTCTTTCCCTCCAGGGTTTACTTGGTAATATCATAGTAAGTGAAGTGTAATCCTTCAATATTATGCTTTTCCTTCCAGTGTAGGAGGAGACAGAATTGTTCAACTTTAGCTTCTACATGACGGCTTCTGAGCCTTAAACTTCTGCACAGTATCTCTTAGCTCTGACCTTTCAAACAGTAGATGTGCTGTATAGGTGATATTATATTCCTACAATCATAAAAGTGGTACACATTTTCCTGACAATTTTTTAACATAAAACAGGGTCTGAGAAACAACTTCCCTCTTGCATTATCCACCTTCATGAATATTTTCTGTAAGATCTGAAATCCCCTGAAACAATCTTCTGAAACAAACCAAAGTTTTCCTCTACCTCCCATAATTCTGTTTGTAGATTCTACAATGTTAGATCTTTTCTAGTCTTCAAAGCCCTCTTTTTCTACTGATTTTTCATAGGGCATGCAACCCGTGTCACCTTTACTTAGTAGAGAAAGTTTGTCTGTGACAATTAAAAGCCCTTCCTGAAAACTGCATTTCACTCAGTAACTATTTGAACAACTCAAACTACAAATTAAATGTAACTGCAACAGATACTACACATTTAAAGTAAGAACACATTTAAAAACTGATCTCTGTCCTTTACATCCTCACAATATATACAACAAATAATCAGTAACTGAAATGTTGCTAGCTAACTTTGGTGCATGAACAAAAAGCTTGAGCCATTGCCTGGCGTTCTTGTGGTTGATCTGTGATGTTCTGGAGGGGGCAGCCCAGAAATAAAACTAGATGCTGTCATTGTGCCACGGAAACTTTCATTTCTACTTCCTGCTTTCAGTAACTTGACTGTAATATTACTGTTTCAAACCAACACTATTTTTAGGCATATGAGCCATATATTAACTGCAAAAGAATTGACAGTCATTACTGAAGGCAGTGACTTTTTTCAGCCAAACCAGTCACTCATGTGTTCAGTAGTAAACAGTAAATAATAAAAGCAAAACCACCATAAAATGAAAAAGCACTTCAGCTTTCACTGCTCATACTGGAAGCTCAGAGTTGCATAATACAAAATTCATGAAAATTCATATGCAGCAATTCAGTTCACTGTCTTCCTTCTCCTAAAATCAGCAAACATGCAAATAAGCATGATTCAGAAAGAGAGCTTTCAAACAACTTTGAAAAAAATTTACAATATTTTTACTCTAAAAGACCAAAAGAACTGCTCATTTAATCACTATTCAAAGCCCAGTATTATGCTGCATTTCAGTTTCTATTTTGGCACTTTGATTTTTCTCAAAAAATGAATAAAGAAAAAGTATACCCTTAAAAGACAGACATTAAATCCCCCAAATAATCAGAATTCAAAATATTATTCTAGAAGTTGAAATGTACAGTTGAACTCTAGTAACTGTCAGATCCCAAACATCCCCTCCAGGGTACAGCATACGACTACTCTTGGAAATTTCAGAATTAAGGTAGACAAATCACACCAGTATCAAAATTCATAGGAAGAATGAGTTTACAGGTGAAAGAACTTGCCTTATCACCTTCCATTACATAAGCAAACCAAGGCAGAGAGATCCTCTCAAAAGGAAACAGGAACAAGGAAAAGACAGTCATTTTCTGGATAGTAATCCTGAAATTTAGGCATCCGTCTACAAGCGTAGTACGGATTTTGTAAATATTAGGGTCTGGCTAAATATAATATTGCATTCTAATTTCTTTTAATAAACTATAACAGTTACAGAATGGAGTGATGCAGCATGAACCAAAGAAATTTCTTGGCAAGAAAACAAAGAGAAAAATTATGCAGCACAAATGTCATGAAATGGTAGACCCTGGTGAGACAATTTGCGTCCATTCAGATTGTCCTTTTGGCAGCGCAAAAACTTTCTCAAGAGTAACAAGAAAGTCTGTTATTAGCTGCCCTTCAAGTTAATGACTACAGAGTTTATCTTTTGTCTTCTGGGCAAATGTAAAGTGTACATCAGATTTTTTTTTGTCATTTATCCATTTGTAAAACATAAACCCAGCATGAAATGGCTCTGACGTAACAACATAGTTTATCTGTCCAGATTCATTCCCACCACAAGTTGTGATTCTGTGTACTTTTATTTTCTTTTGCTTTTTTATCCCAGAAAGTAAAATTCAAAGAAGTTGAAAAACAAGAGAACCCCTAACTAACACAGTGAAACTGACATAGTTAAAAAGAAAAATGAATGTTAAGAAAAACATAGGCTGTTTCACAATGCAAATTCTAAGGAGGTGAGAGAATATAAAAAAACAAACAAACACACAAACAAAAAGTGCTGTTCTAGTGAATCTGTCCAGTGAATTTTTGCTTTTTTTAAGTTCTAGAATAAAACACATGTACAAGCATTGGGGATACACCATTTCATAGCCTGAGGAGCTCCTTAGTCATTAACCAGATGTGAGCTCTACTGAGATGCCTACTTCTCCCCTGATAGCTATATCCTGAGGCTTCAAGCTCTGTAGAATCCAGTATGACACCCCTGAATGAACCAGGATGTCAGTTTATTCTTATCCTCTTTCTGGGTTGGTACCGGATAACAATATTAGGCGCCCAGTGGGGATGGAGTTGGATTTTTCTAGCAGAATTCAAGAATTGATCAGTCTGTTAGCACATGGACAGACCCAACATATTTTATCCTGAAATCTAAGTAATTCAATAAGTCAAATCTATGCTTACATCTTATAAATATGTGTGGATGGAGCTTTTGGATGGTTTGGTTTTTATTTGGTTGTTTTTTTTTTTTTTATTTTGACAATAGCTGCACAATAAGCAGAAAAAAAATTTTGAATAAAGCAAACTTAATGTAGATATGTTTATCCTTCACCTCCAGCTTATTGATTGAAAATTATCTTGTAATCTCTTGTCCTTTTAGGTTTTTTTAAATGTAGACTCAGGTCGTTTTCTTCACTAATGCTCAAACTACAGACACGATCAGCAACAACAACATCTGTAGAACATAAGAATTTATAATCATCATTTAGAATCAGTGATCAGTTGATATGAATTAAATGTCATTTTTACCTAAACCCAAAACAGCAGGCGTATGCTTAAAAAACATCACTAACAGCAATTTACCAAAAAACTAATTAAAACAAACGAACACAAAACCTCACCTCAGCAAACAGAAATCGAGAAAAGTGGAATTAGTTATGATTCCTAATTATTTTGCTTTTTCTTGTTCTTTTAATTTTTTTTGTAGACACACTAGCCTTTCAGTACATTTGGGGAAAAAAGTGTTAATTATGAACATTCCAATTAGGAAACAGTCAAGAACTCAAATGAACTAGTGCTCCTAAATCACTCAACACAGAGAGGCTAACTTATTACAGAATCTTGAATCACAGAGTATTTTGAGTTGGAAGAGACCCACAATGATCATCAAGTCCAAATCTTAAGCAGATAGCCCATACTGGGATTGAACCTGCAACCTTGGCATTATTAGCACCATGTTCTAACCAAGTGAGTTATCTTGTTAGGGGTCTCTACATTGAGCACCTAGCTGCAAGAACAAGGTAAAAAATCAGTGTTGTATGACTGTATGAAAATCACAGATGTTTGCTAAAGCAAATGAACATTATGGCTGTTGAGTTCTTGGTTGTCAATGCACTCATTTTTAATACTTTTAAATACCTTTCTGAAACCTTTTTATAGTCAGAAGGTTTTCTCAAGGTATCTGAACTAATAACTTGAATATTAAAAGAGTGTAGAAGCATATAATTGAATAGACGGTGGGAAGTAATCAGAGGGTTCTTTACCAGCAAAATCCAAATCTTTATAGAGAATGCCATAGGTGCTTGAGACATTTTAGGGACAAGCAAAATATTGTATTTCTATCCGCTTCAAGAGCTTTCAGGATTCTATTAGGTACAGAAAATTATAGAAATTACAGAATGAGAATAAAATGAAGCCAAAAGGAAAATGACAACTTGCCAGGTAGTAGTTACTAAGAGTAGGCAACGAGGCAAGATCACTAGATTTTAAGACAGCAGTGTGAAATGAAACAGTGATTGCACTCTGGAATAATTAGAGCAATACAGCACAGAGGTTGAAGAAGCCAAAGTGAATCAATGGATGCGTGTCGTAAACATGATACCTGAGAGCAAAAGAATAGTGTAAAGAAAGCTGAGAAAGGAAAGGTAGCTATGTCAGAGCACATTTCACAAGCAGCAGACAAAACATTTTAGTTCAAGGCTTACATAAGATCTATAGTGACGTCACATGAGATTTTATTCTTACTTCACAAAGATTAAACAGGAATATGAAGTGCGTGGCATTTGTGAGATAGAACCATTAAGTGAATTGAGACTAAAGATCACTATTTGGAGACAATTTTCCTGTTTTCTCTCACAATATGCACAGTATATTACATCATTAGAGAAAATATAAAGCTCCTCATTATAGCCAGGGTAAGAGAAAGTTATGTGCAACTAAAAAAAACAGACAAACAACAAAAAACCATACTCTTATCAACATGGATTTGGACTCAGAAATTCTGTTCTGAAACTACCAGTATATGGAGAATGAATCAATACTACATGTTCAGCGGAAAATGACATATATAATACTCAAACCCAATTAAAAAAAAAAAAAAAAAGGAAAAAATTGAAGTTGCAAACAGTTTGAAAAGCAAAGATATCATGCAGTTAACCCATCTCTCAGTGTTATCAAACTCTTATATTAAATTGTTTAAAATCATAGGC